TGGGCATTGATTTTGTATCCTGCCACTCTGCCAAATTGCTGTATGAGTTCTAGCCATCTTGGGGTGGAGTCTTTTAGGTTTTCTAGGTACAGCCTCATGTCATCTGCAAAGAGGGAGAGTTTAACTTCTTCTTTGCCAATTTGAAAGCCTTTTATTTCTTTTTGTTGTCTGACTGCTGAGGTTAGGACTTCTGGGACTATGTTGAATAGCAGTGGTGAGAGTGGACATCCCTGTCATGTTCCTGATCTTAGGGGAAAGGCTCCCAGTGTTTCCCATTGAGAATGATATTAGCTGTGGGCTTTTGTAGATGGCTTTTAAGATGTTGAGGAATGTTCCCTCTATCCCTACACTCTGAAGAGTTTTGATCAGGAATCCATGCTGTATTTTGTCAAATGCTTTCTCAGCATCTGTTGAGCAGATCATATGGTTCTTGTTTTTACTCTTGTTGATGTGATCTATCTCATTGATTGTTTTACGAGTGTTGAAGCAACCTTGCATCCCAGGGATAAATCCCACTTGGTCATGGTGAATAATCTTCTTAATGTCCTATTGGATCCTATTGTATAGTATCTTGTTGAGAATTTTTGTTTCTGTGTTCATAAGGGATATTGGTCTATAATTCTCCTTTTTGGTGGGGTCTTTGTCTGGTTTTGAAATTAAGGTGATGCTGGCCTCATAGCATGAGTTTGGAAGTATTCCATCTGTTTCTATCTTTTAGAGCATCTTTAGTAGAATAGGTATTGTTTCTTCTTAAATGTTTGATAGAATTCCCCTGAGAAGCCATCTGGCCCTGGACTTTTGTGTCTTGGGAGGTTTTTGATGACTGCTTCAATTTCCTCCCTGGTTATTGCCCTGCTCAGGTTTTCTGTTTCTTCCTCTTCCAGTTTTGGTAAGTTGTGGTTTTCCATAAATGCATCCATTTCTTCAAGATTGCCTAATTTAGTGGCATATAGCTGCTCATAAAACGTTTTTTAAATCGTTTGTATTTCCTTGTTGTTGGTAGTGATCTCTCCTCTTTCATTCGTGATTTTATTAATTTGAGTCTTTTCTTTTTAATAATGCTGGATAATGGTTTATCTATCTTATTAATTCTTTTTTTTATTATAAATTAATTTTTATTGGTGTTCAATTTACCAACATACAGAATAACACCCAGTGCCCATCCCGTCAAGTGTCCCCCTCCGTGCCCGTCAACCATTCACCCCCACACCCCGCCCTCCTCCCCTTCCACCACCCCTAGTTCATTTCCCAGAGTTAGAAGTCTTTATGTTCTGTGTCCCTTTCTGATATCTCCCACACATTTCTTCTCCCTTCCCTTATATTCCCCTTCACTATTATTCATATTCCCCAAATGAATGAGAACATACACTGTTTGTGCTTCTCCGATTGACTTACTTCACTCAGCATAATACCCTCCAGTTCCATCCACGTTGAAGCAAATGGTGGGTATTTGTCGTTTCTAATGGCTGAGTAATATTCCATTGTATACATAAACCACATCTTCTTTATCCATTCATCTTTTGATGGACACCGAGGCTCCTTCTACAGTTTGGCTATTGTGGACATGGCTGCTAGAAACATCGGGGTGCAGGTGTCCCGGCGTTTCATTGCATCTGAATCTTTGGGGTAAATCCCTAACAGTGCAATTGCTGGGTCGTAGGGCAGGTCTATTTTTAATTCTTTGAGGAACCTCCACACAGTTTTCCAGAGTGGCTGCACCAGTTCACATTCCCACCAACAGTGTAAGAGGGTTCCCTTTTCTCCGCATCCTCTCCAACATTTGTTGTTTCCTGCCTTGTTAATTTTCCCCATTCTCACTGGTGTGAGGTGGTATCTCATTGTGGTTTTGATTTGTATTTCCCTGATGGCAAGTGATGCAGAGCATTTTCTCATGTGCATGTTGGCCATGTCTATGTCTTCCTCTGTGAGATTTCTCTTCATGTCTTTTGCCCATTTCATGATTGGATTGTTTGTTTCTTTGGTGTTGAGTTTAAGAAGTTCTTTATAGATTTTGGAAACTAGCCCTTTATCTGATATGTCATTTGCAAATATCTTCTCCCATTCTGTAGGTTGTCTTTGAGTTTTGTTGACTGTATCCTTTGCTGTGCAAAAGCTTCTTATCTTGATGAAGTCCCAATAGTTCATTTTTGCTTTTGTTTCTTTTGTTTTCGTGGATGTATCTTGCAAGAAGTTACTGTGGCCGAGTTCAAAAAGGGTGTTGCCTGTGTTCTCCTCTAGAATTTTGATGGAGTCTTGTCTCACATTTAAATCTTTCATCCATTTTGAGTTTATCTTTGTGTATGGTGCAAGAGAGTGGTCTAGTTTCATTCTTCTGCATGTGGATGACCAATTTTCCCAGCACCATTTATTGAAGAGACTGTCTTTCTTCCAGTGGATCGTCTTTCCTCCTTTGTCAAATATTAGTTGACCATAAAGTTCAGGGTCCATTTCTGGGTTCTCTATTCTGTTCCATTGGTCTATGTGTCTGTTTTTGTGCCAGTACCACACTGTCTTGATGACCACAGCTTTGTAGTACAACCTGAAATCTGGCATTGTGATGCCCCCAGCTATGGTTTTCTTTTTTAAAATTCCCCTGGCTATTCGGGGTCTTTTCTGATTCCACACAAATCTTAAAATAATTTGTTCTAAGTCTCTGAAGAAAGTCCATGGTATTTTGATAGGGATTGCATTGAACGTGTAAATTGCCCTGGGTAACATTGACATTTTCACAATATTAGTTCTGCCAATCCATGAGCATGGAATATTTTTCCATCTCTTTGTGTCTTCCTCAATTTCTTTCAGAAGTGTTCTATAGTTTTTAGGGTATAGATCCTTTACCTCTTTGGTTAGGTTTATTCCTAGGTATCTTATGCTTTTGGGTGCAATTGTAAATGGGATTGACTCCTTAATTTCTCTTTCTTCAGTCTCACTGTTAGTGTATAGGAATGCCATTGATTTCTGGGCATTGATTTTGTATCCTGCCACACTACCAAATTGCTGTATGAGTTCTAGCAATCTTGGGGTGGAGGCTTTTGGGTTTTCTATGTAGAGTATCATGTCATCGGCGAAGAGGGAGAGTTTGACTTCTTCTTTGCCAAGTTGAATGCCTTTAATGTCTTTTTGTTGTCTGATTGCTGAGGCTAGGACTTCCAATACTATGTTGAATAGCAGTGGTGAGAGTGGACATCCCTGTCTGGTTCCTGATCTTAGGGGAAAGGCTCCCAGTGCTTCCCCATTGAGAATGATATTTGCTGTGGGCTTTTCGTAGATGGCTTTTAAGATATCGAGGAAAGTTCCCTCTATCCCTACACTCTGAAGAGTTTTGATCAGGAATGGATGCTGTATTTTGTCAAATGCTTTCTCTGCATCTAATGAGAGGATCATATGGTTCTTGGTTTTTCTCTTACTGATATGATGAATCACATTGATTGTTTTACCAGTGTTGAACCAGCCTTGTGTCCCGGGGATAAATCCTACTTGGTCATGGTGAATAATTTTCTTAATGTGTTGTTGGATCCTATTGGCTAGTATCTTGTTGAGAATTTTTGCATCCATGTTCATCAGGGATATTGGTCTGTAATTCTCCTTTTTGGTGGGGTCTTTGTCTGGTTTTGGAATTAAGGTGATGCTGGCCTCATAGAACGAGTTTGGAAGTACTCCATCTCTTTCTATCTTTCCAAACAGCTTTAGTAGAATAGGTATGATTTCTTCTTTAAACGTTTGATAGAATTCCCCTGGGAAGCCATCTGGCCCTGGACTCTTGTGTCTTGGGAGGTTTTTGATGACTTCTTCAATTTCCTCCCTGGTTATTGGCCTGTTCAGGTTTTCTATTTCTTCCTGCTCCAGTTTTGGTAGTTTGTGGCTTTCCAGGAATGCGTCCATTTCTTCTAGATTGCCTAATTTATTGGCGTAGAGCTGTTCATAATATGTTTTTAAAATCGTTTGTATTTCCTTGGTGTTGGTAGTGATCTCTCCTTTCTCATTCATGATTTTATTAATTTGAGTCTTCTCTCTCTTCTTTTTAATAAGGTTGGCTAATGGTTTATCTATCTTATTAATTCTTTCAAAGAACCAACTCCTGGTTCTATTGATCTGTTCCACAGTTCTTCTGGTCTCAATTTCGTTGATTTCTGCTCGAAATTTAATTAATTCTCTTCTTCTGCTGGGCGTGGGGTCGATTTGCTGCTTCTTCTCTAGCTCCTTTATGTGTAAGGTTAGCTTTTGTATTTGAGTTCTTTCCAGTTTTTGAATGGATGCTTGTATTGCGATGTATTTCCCCCTCAGGACTGCTTTTGCTGCATCCCAAAGATTTTGAACAGTTGTATCTTCATTCTCATTAGTTTCCATGAATCTTTTTAATTCTTCCTTAATTTCCTGGTTGACCCTTTTATCTTTTAGCAGGATGGTCCTTAACCTCCATGTGTTTGAGGTCCTTCCAAGGCGTTATGGTCTGAGAATATGCAGGGGACGATCCCAATCTTTTGGTATCGGTTCAGACCCGATTTGTGACCCAGTATGTGGTCTATTCTGGAAAAAGTTCCATGTGCACTTGAGAAGAATGTGTATTCAGTTGAGTTTGGATGTAAAGTTCTGTAGATATCTGTGAAATCTATCTGGTCCAGTGTATCATTTAAAGCTCTCGTTTCTTTGGAGATGTTGTGTTTAGAAGACCTATCAAGGGTAGAGAGAGCTAGATTGAAGTCACCAAGTATAAGTGTATTATTATCTAAGTATTTCTTCACTTTGGTTAATAATTCGTTTAAGTATTTGGCAGCTCCCACATTCGGGGCATATATATTGAGGATTGTTAAGTCCTCTTGTTGGATAGATCCTTTAAGTATGATATAGTGTCCCTCTTCGTCTCTCACTACTGTCTTCAGAGTGAATTTTAGTTCATCTGATATAAGGATGGCTACCCCTGCTTTCTTTTGAGGACCATTTGAATGGTAAATGGTTCTCCAAACTTTCATTTTCAGGCTGTAGGTGTCCTTATGTCTAAAATGATGACAGGAATGACAGCTGACAGCAGATCCCAGGTACAGAGGGCACGCTATGAGGCAGCTAATTGGAAATACAAGTATGGGTATGAGATTCCTGTGGACATGCTGTGCAAAAGAATTGCTGATATTTCTCAGGTCTACACACAGAATGCTGAAATGAGGCCTCTCGGTTGTTGTATGATTTTAATTGGTATAGATGAAGAACAAGGCCCTCAGGTGTACAAGTGTGATCCTGCAGGTTACTACTGTGGGTTTAAAGCCACTGCAGCAGGAGTTAAACAAACGGAGTCAACCAGCTTCCTTGAAAAAAAAGTGAAGAAGAAATTTGATTGGACATTTGAACAGACAGTGGAAACTGCAATTACATGCCTATCAACTGTTCTATCAATTGATTTCAAACCTTCAGAAATAGAAGTTGGAGTAGTTACAGTTGAAAATCCTAAATTCAGGATTCTTTCAGAAGCAGAGATTGACGCTCACCTTGTTGCCCTAGCAGAGAGAGACTAAACATTGTAGTTAGTTTACCAAATCCATGACGCCACTTGCCTGTGTCTGGTAGCAACAGACCAACATCATGGAGGCCCCTGGATTGAAAAAGGAACCTCTCCCACTCCTCCTGCCACTGTGAAGTGGTTAGGACTCTGTATAAATAAAAACAGTGCTTTTGGAAAAAAAAATAAAATAAAATAAAATGAGTCTCTTGTAGACAGCAAATAGGTGGTCTTGCTTTTTCACCAAGTCTGAAACCCTACATCTTTTGATCATTAAGGATCATTAAGCCCATTCACATTCAGAGTTACTATTGAAAAGTATGAATTTAGTGTCATCGTAATACCTATTCAGTCCCTGTTTTGTGGATTATTTCTTTGGGCTTCTTTCTTTTTCAGGGTCCCCCTTAATATTTCTTGCATAGCCGGTTTGGTGGTCACATATTCATTCAGTTTCTGTCTATTTTGGAAGCTCTTTATCTCTCCTATTCTGAATGAGAGCCTTGCTGGATAAAGTATTCTTGGCTGCATGTTTTTCTAATTTATTACCCTATATATATCATGTGAGCCCGTTCTGGCTTCCTAGGTCTCTGTGGAGAGGTCTGCTGTTAATCTAATAATTCTCCCCATATAAGTTAGGGATCTCTCTTGTCTCTTGCTACTTTAAGGATTTTTCTCTTTATCTTTGGAATTTGCAAGTTTCACTATTAAGTGTTGAGATGCTGAACGGTTTTTATTGATTTTAGGGAGGGACCTATCTATCTCCTGGATCTAAATCCCTGTTTCCCCGCCCCCCCCAATTAGGGAATTTCTCAGCTATAATTTATTCAAATATGCTTTCTGGCCCTCTGGCCCTCTCGGGTCTCTGGAATCCCAATTATACATAGATTTTTCCTTATGAGGCTGTCATTTATTTCCCTTAACCTTTCTTCATGGTCTTTTAATTGTTTTTCTCTTTTTTCCTCAGCTTCCTTCCTTGCCATCATTTGTCTTCTATGCCACTCACTCATTTTTCTACCTCATTAACCCTCATCGTTAGGACCTCCAGTTTGGATTGCATCTCATTTAAATGATTTTTAATTTCTGCCTGATTAGATCTAAATCCTGGAATGACGCAGTCTTTTGAATCCTTTATGCTTTTTTTCCAGAGCCACCAGTACCTTTATAATTTTGCTTATGAATTGGCGTTCTGACATTGAATTGTAATCCAAATTCTGTAACTCTGTGGCAGAGTACTGTTTCTGATTTTCTTTTTTGTGGTGAGTTCTTTCTAGTCATTTTGCTCAATGCAGAGTGGCTGTATGAGCGGGTTGAGTCAAGATTATCAACCACCACCTAAGCAAATTTCACCCTTGATGATTCTTCTGGTTCTATATACTGGAAATCCCTCGACTTCTCTCAGAGCTTTCCAGAGCTGCTTGGTCAATATCTTGCTTTTCCCCTTTCCTTCCAGCTGGTCTTCTGGGGGTGGGTCCTGCTGTGCTGGTTCTCAGGTGTGTGCACCTGGGGAAGCTGCCCTGTCCCCTGCCAGGTGCCAGGCTCAGTGGGAGTGAGTACTCCCTGAGGCCTCTGTTCCCCTGTGGCCCCGCCCCTCCCAGGTACAGGGTGACGCCAGGAGGAACAACCACCTTGGAGGCAGCCAGCTCTCCAGCTCTGGAGTCAGCTCTCTGCAGTAACTAACACAGTCTCTCAATCCGCACTGGCATAGATGTGCCCCGGGCGGGCTGGGTCTCTGACCTGCACAGCTTTGGGTGACTGGTGGCAGTAGAGTCCTCCATGTCCTGTGTCCTCCCCACCTCTGCCTGTCCCTGGGGGGAGTGTAGGATGGTGAGCTATGTCCCCTCGGTGCCCTGGGATCCCAGGACTGTGCTGCTGGAATCCCACTCCCGGGGCACCCAGCTCCCGAAGGCAGCAGGGCACAGCTCCCTCTGCGCAGAGCCACTGCCTGACCAACCTGCTTCTCCCAGATGCCCTGCCAAGGTGCACGCTCCAGCCCTTTACTGAGATCGGCCCACTGTCTGTGGCACGCTTTCCCCCCGGGCACACTTCCTCTATTAGTGAGTCCGGGAAACTGGAGGCTCCACTGCCACTCCTGTGATTCTGCTCAATTTCCCTGCTAAGCACCTTTCGATCTTGGAAGAATCCGGTGCGGATTTTTTAAGGTTCCTGCTTCTCCAGGACTAGGCTTGCTTTAGCCTGGCTCCTCTCGGGGCCCCTCCCCCACTTAATTCTTCTTAATTTTTTTTTCTACCTTCCACCTTGTGAGAAGTGAAAACCCCTCTCTCTGTAGCATTCCAGCTGTTCTCTCTTTATTTTTTAAGATTTATTTATTTATTTATGATAGACAGAGAGAGAGAGAGAGAGAGAGGCAGAGACACAGGAGGAGGGAGAAGCAGGCTCCATGCCGGGAGCCCGATGCAGGACTTGTTCCTGGGACTCCAGGACCACGCCCTGGGCCAAAGGCAGGCGCTAAACTGCTGAGCCACCCAGGGATCCCCTGTTCTCTCTTTAAATCTCAGGTCGAATTTGTGCTTTCAGGATGCTATGAAAGTAATCTAGGTAAGTTGGTGGGACCAGGTGAGTTGAGGACCCCAACTCCTCTTCCCTCTTCTCAGCTCCCCCTACAACAACCTTTTTGAACTTGGCCACAGCAACTTCTTGCAAGATACATCTATGAAGGCAAAGGAACCAAAAGCAAAAATGAACTACTGGGACTTAATCAGGATTAAAAGCTTCTGCACAGCCAAAGAAACAGTCAACAAAACTAAAAGACAACCTACAGAATGGGAGAACATATTTGCAAATGATGTATTAGATAAAGAGCTAGTATCCAAGATCTATAAAGAACTTATTAAACTCAACAGCAAAGAAACAATCTATTATGAAATGGGCAGAAAACATGAACAGAAACTTCACCAAAGAAGACATACACATGGCCAACCAACACATGAAAAAATGCTCCGCATCACTTGCCTTCAGGGAAATACAAATCAAAACCACAATGAGACACCATGTCACATCACTGAGAATGGCGAAAATCAATAAGACAGGAACCAACAAATGTTGGAGAGGATGTGGAGAAGGGTGAATCCTCTTGCACTGTTGGTGGGAATGCAAACTGGTGCAGGTACTCTGGATAACAATATGGAGGTTCCTCAAAAAGTTAAAAATAGGGGATCCCTGGGTGGCGCAGCGGTTTGGCGCCTGCCTTTGGCCCAGGGCACGATCCTGGAGACCCGGGATCGAGTCCCACGTCAGGCTCCCAGTGCATGGAGCCTGCTTCTCCCTCTGCCTGTGTCTCTGCCTCTCTCTCTCTCTGTATGACTATCGTAAATAAATTAAAAAAATAAAAAATAAAAAAAAGTTAAAAATAGCACTACCCTATAAGCAGCAATTGCACTACTGGGTATTTACCCCAAAGATACAGATGTAGTGAAATGCCAGGACACCTGCATCCCTATGTTCATTGCAGCAATGTCCACAATAGCCAAACTGTGGAAGGAGCCATGATGTCTGTCAACAGGTGAATGGATAAAGAAGATGTGGTCTATATATACAATGGACTATTACTCAGTCATCAGAAAGGACAAATACCCATCATTTGCTTCAACATGGATGGAACTGGAGGTTAGTATGCTGAATTAAATAAGTGAATTGGAGGATAATCATGGTATGGTTTCACTCATATGGGGAACATAAGAAATAGTGAAAGGGATTATAAGGGAAAGGAAGGGAATTGAATAGGGAAAACTAGAGAGGGAGACAAACCACGAGAGACTCCTAACTCTGGGAATGAACAAAGGGTTGTGGAAGGGGAGGTGGGTGGGGCATTGGGGTAACTGGGTTATGGGGACTGAGGAGGGTACTTGATGGGATGAGCAGTGGGTGTTATACTATATGTTGGCAAATCGAACTTCAATAAAACAAATGAAAGAAATTTAAAAAAGAAAACACTAAAAATGAGCAAAGAGAGTTTAGGTGTTGCTAGTGAAAGTTAGAAAAGGGTTTTTTCACAGCACTCTGGAAGTAATACTGCTGCCTTGTTTGTTTTGTTTTGTTTTACTGTTTTCAGAGTAAAGATGATTGACATATTTAATTGAGTTCCTGAAATCAACATGAACAATATGCTCCCCCAAATAAGTCAAGGGAGAATATAACAGTTTTGTAATGTTCATGTGAAATACAAGTGGGCAACCTAACCCAGGTTTCTGGTCAGCTCACAAATTTGTGGCTGAAACTTCTACTATCCTCCTCAAACTGCAGAACATCCTATTCTGTAATAGAAGCCTGTCTTTGCCATTGGCAAGGTTAGTTACCTTTGGTGCAACCAGATTCGTATCAATGTCCCGTAGACCCTTTGTGGTATTTAATTTTTCATGGTCATTGCTTACTAAGCCATCCATGGTCAGGCAAAGGGTTATATGCTTAGTTCCAGTTTATGGATTATGCAAGGTACACAAGGAAGTTCACAACTTGAACAAGGCAACATTTTGCAATGTTAACTGACTTTTCCTTCCATACTTCCTTGTATTCCTCTACATTTGCACTATAAAATCAGTTGGTGAGTCAACCATTCACTACCTCAGGGGAAGCAGAAAAGACTGGTATTCCTTCATATTAGTTTGACTATGAGCCAATGAAGCCTCAATATAGCCTCTTCCTTAGCACAATCACACTCTATGGACTCAAAGATTGCTTCCTTTACTCAAAAAATAAATAAGCTCTTCCTGGGAGAGAATGATACAGAATTTTTAGATCTATTGTTTCTAAGTCCATCGATCGACAGCAAAAAGCAACAAAAAATGTCTCAAATCCATTTGAACATTCAATTCTTGCCCCTCAATAGAATGGTGACTGAGATTTGAGAAACTATTGAACTAGCTAATCTATCACATAGTAACTGGTCCCTGACATGCACTTACAATGTAAATAACTATAAAACTGTACAAAATTCATTAGGGGACTGTTTGAGTGCATTAGGCAGTAGAAGGCACAGAACTGTGAATCTTGAGTGAAGGAAATCTATGAGATGAAATCACTGTTTCCCACAGCATGCTGCCTGGGGGCACATTCCAGATGGTGACATATGGAGTTAGAACCTAAATGAACATACATGCTTTGATGAGTTGAGGAGACTGAGGTTTGCAGCTGCTGAAGTACTTCAAATTTGCAGGTCTTATCTGAAGAG